TCCAGATTTAGTCAGTGAAATGAATGACTAGGCCAAGGTCAGGCAATAAGTCAAAGGACACTTCACCCCCTCCTGCTATAATTTTAATGTGCTACTCATCAGGCCAGGCTTCTAAGCCCACATAAAGTTTTTAATAACTTTTTTAAAGAGCTAATTCAGAAAATTTACCAGATCAAACTTTTAGTGAATTAGGCCCACAGAGACCTAATGAACTTGTTCGTCTAGTGTTTAACCTAGCATATTATAGTATTTGTTAAAGAAGCCCATTTAAAAATAATAATAATAACTTTTCCAAACAAGTAGACAATAAGAGCACACAAGTCCTAAATAATATAAATTCTGGTCATTTATACTCTTTACTTTTATCCACCTAGGTCAAATTGAGCAATATCCACCTCCTTTAAATATTTGAGGAATGAAATATGAAGAAAAATGAAGCTGGATGAAGGATAAGGGACTCTTTACTTCAATCCAGATTTAAAAAATCACATTATCAAGTATCATTTGCAAATCTCTTCCTTTAAGCATCAAGATACATCTTTTCTCCTGGATATTCCAAATATCACTTGTCTCATTGTCTGTCACAGAACAGTAATTCTGCTTCGATGGTTAATCTATCACTTCTGACTTTGGTCATAGAAAAGTGCTTCCTGAAATCATCTTTCTTTCATAAGGAGTAAAAATTACAACCAAGTTCTTTATATGAATAAGATGAAATTAACTGTTAACCAAATTTTCTCCTTGTTTTTTTTTGTTAATGTTACTTATTTACAATATAATGTTTTAAATTGATAATCAGAAAATGAACAAATATACTTTGATTCTATATCACAACTCACAAATTTAATGATAATTAAAATGATGCCTTCAGTACAGTCCTTTTTGAAATGTTACTTCTAAAGGATTTATCTTTTCACTAGAGGCCCAGTGCACGAATTCGTGCATGGGTGGGGGTTCCTAGGCCTGGCCAGTGATCGGGGCGATCAGGGTTGATCGGGGCCACTGGGGGTTGGTCGGCCAGGGGGAGGGGCCACGGGAGGTTGGTCGGCCATTGAAGGTTGGCTGTGGGAGCGCACTGACCTCCTGGGGGCATCTCCTGCATTGAGCATCTCCCTCCTGGTGGTCAGTGTGTGTCATAGCGACTGGTCGTTCAGTCAATTGGTCGCTTAGGCTTTTATATATATCGATAATATCATCGACAAAAAATTAGCTGTAGTTTAATATACATCAGAAGGAAGAAAAAATTCAGCATTTGGAATGCTAGCTATGTTAACAAATATGTTTTAAGATTTTATTCACTTAATCCTCATTAAATTTGAGTGTATTTATATATCAAAATTAGATTAACTTTTTCATTTTCCTTCCTTTTTCAACTATATTTATGGTTGAAATAAGATTAATCTTAAATGATTTAAGGGGTCATACGTATTTTTAAAATTTCTATGTCACACATTAACAAGCACAATATTTAAATTATAAGTGGATAATGTCTTTATATTACTTGAGGTTAAGCGAAAAAAAGTTTACACCAAGTGTATAAGAAGGGGGGGACTGACAAGCTCTCTCTTAAACCAGAATCCTGGGCAATCATCCTGATGCTCTGACATATGGTAACTCACTAACTTCTCTGACTATGCAGGCTCCAGCATGAATCCCACACTTATCAAATCCTTGGTACCCTACTGCTGTCACTAGTGCGATCTAAAACTTCTGTTTCCAAGAAATATCAAAAGGTTAAATGTGTATACTAAAAATATTGGGAGAGGGCTACGTTTTCTTCAAGATCTTAGGACTAAGGTTATTTTTAAATGGTTGATTCCTTTTCTAAGCTTCCAACAGCCTTTAAACAAGGGTTATCTTTAATGGGCTCCCCTCTTTCTTTTTTCCTGTTGTTTATAATAATGTCTTATCTTAACTAAGTCATTTTCTTCGGTATCTTGTTTAAGAGAACAATGGTTTGTTACTATATTATGGTGAGATTACTAAAGGTGCTGCCACTCTTTTTAATTTATGAAAGCATGAAACCATTAAAAAGAAGTATAATGTTCAATGTAGGAGACATGAATTAGACATCCATTACATTCTAAAAAAACCTTTTAGGTACACAAATTAAGGAATGCACAAGAGGATAATGGGTTTTCTAAGTTTTAAGTTCATCAGCATACTATAGAACTCAGGACCTGTGAATTCTAAAGTGAATAGGCCAGGGCATTCCTTAAGAGACCAAGTTCTCTGGATAGTTTTCAGCTGTACCCTTAAATAGAACACAGAGTTGGTAGTAGCTGGTCTGTGGCTCACCCAGATAAGCTTCACATCACCAGTACCACAAAGAGACGCCACACAAAGAGAGAAAGCAGTAAACCTAATAAAATTAACATGTGGAGATTACGGACTGGCTCAACATCAATAAAGCATAGCACATTTATTATTTGAAATAAAGGATATGGATATCACCAACATATCCACATTTCCTAGTTAAGACATCCTTGTGTGTAAATGTCATACGATTTCAAAATGGCCACTAGGGTGCAATTTGAGATAGAAAACAAAGCAAATCTACCTATTTTATATGGGGAACAAACTAATTAGACTGGGATCATTAGCACAGATCTTTAACCAAATGTGCTGATTCAACTCCAAATTACACGGGAAAATCGAGAGTTATGTTGACCATGCTGTAGGACTAAATACAAATGAATGTTCTGAAAATTCTTGAATATGACTTGAAATATAAGATGCTTTCAAGAGAACAAAATGCAAAACTAACTTTACCACTTAGTGTGCCTATGTGGGGAAAAAATCACTGTGTCTCTGTACATTGAAGATAACAATCATTTTACATACTTTTCAAAAATAGTGTTTCAATTATTGATGTCTTTGAGAAAGAGACTATATCATAATTACCATTATCATTGAAATTAGTTCAGTATATTTTAATAGATTTGAGTGACTAATCAATTCTTTTTTACTTATTGGTATCTTTCTTACAATGCCTTTCACAATCAGATGTCAAACTATCTTTTGAGACTTGACCTCTAACACTTCTTACCTCAAATTCCTTTATGCTATAGACTTTCCACCTGTTATTTATCTACACATACACTTATATAAAACACAAATCTATATAAATTTATAAATGTATATTACATAGAGTCTTCTGGATTTGTCAAATGTTATACAACAAATTTATTATAGAGGTATTTTCAGATACTCTAAAAATATCTAGTTTTTTTAAAATATATTTTATTGATTTTTTACAGAGAGGAAGGGAGAGGGATGGAGAGTTAGAAACATCAATGAAAGAGAAACATCGATCAGCTGCCTCTTGTACACCCCCTACTGGGGATGTCCTTGCAACCAAGGTACATGCCCTTGACCGGAATCAAACCCAGGACCCTTCAGTCCACAGGCCAACACTCTATCCACTGAGCCAAACCAGTCAGGGCTTATATTACTATAAAAAGATGAACCTAAAACATATTGTCATAGGAAATTTGGGAGTAAAAAGATAAAAAACAACACACTTGGCAATTACTAACCAAAAGAAAGCTCATATATATTTATATATACATATCAAAAAATAAATGCAAAATAAATTTATTAGCTATTAAAAGACTCGTTACTAACAGGAATAATCCATCTAAAAAGCATAAAAATTATAAAGATGTAGAGACCTAAGAAGTAAGAAAACATTTTGAAAGATTTACTCAATGTAACATTATACAACTAAACCATTAAAGTGGCTTTTAGAATGAGAATATAAACATTTTTAATGTTTACAACATTATGCTAAAAGAAAAACAGCTTTATAAAATGCATATGTACTTGAATTACATTCATGTAAAAGTAAAGCTTATACAAGGAAAATATTAGAAAGGGGAATTCAACTGTAGATGACGTTTTTCTTTTCTTCTGAATTTTCTGTATTTATCAAGATTTCTTTGTACTTAAAAAATGAAAACTTGAAGACCTGTTAAGCACTCCTAGGCA